GTTCTTGAGAGGTCATACCCAAAAATGGAAAATAATTTTAAAGTGTATGTGTATAAAAAAAAAAAGTGGGATCGGACCACCACGACCATTGATAAGAATCAAATGCCGAAAGCCTCATGGTTATTATTCTATGTGAAAGTCTTTAAGATCACACATCAAAAAGTTCATATCCACTTGAATTGTCCAACAATATATAACCTTGTAATCATTTATTTGAAAGCCCAACTAAGAAGCCCATATGTTTTAACTTATTATGGGCCCAATCAAAGCAGGCCATTTATCTGGCAGGAAATTAATTCCGGGGCTGGCTTTAGCTTGAATTCTTGAGAAAATCTACCCATTAACTGCCATATCAATGATTAATTTGGTTTCTTATATCAAATTATTTTGCAGATGTTCAGATGACACAAAAATGAAAAAATCACAATTGATATCTTTTGTATAGTTCTTTTTATTTGTATTCATCATTTGTCTTCAAAAATTATGTGCAACCTTTAAAGATTAATGGAATGACATATGTTAAAAACAAAAAAAAACTTTCTTTTCTTAATTCAAATTACGTATACTAATCCAAAACAAAATACTGGTTATTAGTCAACGTTTGGTTGATACCAAATTGCATATTAATATCAACCAATTTGTCAAATATTATTGATGTTATTTTGTATATGTTATAAATATGGCAAGTGGACTACAATCTTAAATGACAGTACAGGAGAAGACTTTACAGCTGTAGCTTTTGTCACGACAAAAACCAAAAAAAGTCAGCTGTACATTTGACTATACAATTACTACTACACTAAATTGAACGTTTACGATTATCTCATCATCATAAGGTAAATATTTCAGGTTCATCAAGGATAATTATATTATGTTTAATGAAGAAAGCTGTTAATATTAAAATAAATAAAAGGAGAAGTTTTGAGAGTACGTATTGTGTGACATGGAAGCATTAACTTGATATAACTAATACTTTTGTTGTAGTTGCTCAATATTATAATTTCGTTTATTAGTTTTTTACTTGGACTGTTTTCGTACAAACGCAATCACACAAGTACGTTGAGATTTTTTCTAGAAATATTGTACTTTCAAATTTTCTTCGGTTATTGTTATAATACTAAACGACCACAACAATATAGAAATCAATAAATAATTCTATAAATTTTGGAACATAAAGTTTGATCTTTCCGTCAACAAAAAATAAAGTTTGATCTTTATTCACATTCGCTACTATTTCTTCATATATTATTATTTACTAACGTATGAACTTTGACCATGAAACAGTAAATTGATACATTGGGCATAGACC